CATGGCTTTACTTCCTATATTTCATCTTCATACTTTTCTACTGGATGGATAAGACCTAGGTAAAGCAGGACCTGTGCAATAAGAGTTGTAGCTTTTTGGTCTGAGAAGGCCAGTGAAATCCCCTCAGGATTTATCCTGAGTGCAAGTTACTTCATGAATGTCTTCACCTGAATGGTTGATCCTATGCACCACAATCCTGGTAGATTTCTGTGGCTATAATCCTGAAGGACTGTGAATGAAAACTAGTAGAATATAACTGATAAAGTCCTGGTTAAATTTGCATGATGGGAGTTTAATGATAGTTCAGAATAAATACACAAATTAAATTCAAGACATAAAAGTGCTTTCCTTCCGTAACTGAAAAAATAGTTTTAGTAATGTAACTTAAACATAGTAAAATTTACCCACTTCAGAGCTACAGTTTAAGTTGTGATAAAGCTAGTTCTGTAATCAACATAAAAATGAAGAACATTTTCATCATCTTCAAACAGTTCCTTCATGCCATTTTATCATTTCTTGCCAGCTGCAACCACTTACTACTGCTTTCTGTATTTTTTATTTTCCATATACATGGAATTGAACAATAATCTTTTTCTGGCTTCTTAGCTGGATGCTTATGATATTTATCCAAGTTGTAAATTGTTCCTTTATTCTCATTCAGAAGTATTTCATATTGATATCCCTCAATTTGTTATCTGTTTGGGGCTATTAATGAAAACTGTGAACATTTACATAGTTTGTATGGGCATAGTCTTGGGGTGAATACTTAGGAGCTGGTCACTAGGCCATATAGAAATTCCATGTTTATAATGAATAGCCGATCTGTCTGAATAATTACCTTCTCATGAATGAGACATGAATGAGAGTTCTGGTAACTCTCCATCTTTGTTAACATTTGTATTGTCTTTTAACAGGGACATGTTTTGCAAATATTTGCCTGGTCCATGGTGTGACTCTTAATAATGTTTGTGGAGTAGAAGGCTTTAATCTTGGAGAAGGGGCCGGGGAGATGGCTCAGTAGAATGAGCGCGCGCCTGGCAAGCACAAGGGCCTTAGTTCAATCCCCGACTCCGCCAAAAAAAAACAAAAACAAAAACAAAAAACAACCATCTTGGTGAAGTCTTAATTCATATTTTTAGCTTACAGTTTTTGTCTGCCTAATTTTTGCTGAATCTAAGTCACAAAATGTCTTGTAAAAACATTTTATGGTTTTATTTCATTCATTTAGATCGATTACCATTTCAAGTTAATGTTTTTACTAGTATTTGTGTTAATGGTTCTTACCAGGTAAGAATCAAAGTTTTCTACATATGGCCAACCAGCACTATTTGTTGAAAAGATACTCTTCTTATTACTTAAGTACCTTTTCTTTTCTTTTCTTTCTTTCTTTTTTTTTTTTTATTTATGTATTTGGTATAAGGTGTCACTGTGCAGCTCAGACTCGTAATGATCCTCCTGTTTTCAGCCTCCCCAGTGCTGGAATTACAGGTGTGCGCCACCAGGCCCGGGACTAGGTTGCTGGCTCAGTGTGCCCCTGAGTGGGGCTGGTGTGGAATGCAGGACTTGGGACAGAACCCTGGGCCCTGTGCTTTCCAAAGCAGGCACTTAGAATCCATTGAGGTATCTCACTGGCCCAGAAGTACTTTTTTTTTTTTTTTTTTTTTTTGGGTACTGTGCATTGAACGTAGGCCCTTTTTTTTGAGCTATATTCCCAACTTTTCTGAATTTTGGGGACCAGCGATGTAGTTCAGTGGTCC